GAAAATAAGAACGAATATCAAACGCCAGGTCCGTGTTCTGTGAACCCCGATCATAAGTCGTTATTAGATGCAAACAATGGTATCGTCAGATCAAAAATCGTACAACATATAGCAACTATGCTGTGGCGTGAGTTGGGTATAAGTTTGAGCTGTTGGTTGTGGTTTGGTGAAAGGATAATGGTATGGGTTCTATCCGGCCGGAGTGGACAATAGTAAAGAGGGTAGGTAATCACGGCGATTGGCAGGCGGTAGTAATTCGGATCAAATCATACCGCCCTCGGTGAAGCCGATGCTGTTTCGCCATCCACAGCGCCGTTCTTGCTCATCTCTCTCGAGGTCTCGAGGTCGCGGAGGAACGCCCCTAGCGTTCAAAGTACCTTTGGGTACCTGAGATGGACTTGGGTCGAACTCGCTGCTGCCGCAACTGCTCCCGCCGCTGGTGTTGGTCTGGACGAGAAGTAAGCTGCTGGTGCTCGAGAGACGCTTGGTGAACTCGCTGAAGCTAAGTCGCTTGGCGCTGGAGACGGACGCCCGCTTTTCCCCGTTGGTTCGGAAGTTGGCATCATCGGATGTCTTACCGGATGAAGAGGTTGGCACATCGAGCCTCTCTTGGCCCATGGGCTGAGTTTGGCTGTACGTCCTTTGCGTCACACCCGGCCGCATCCTGGAATGCGCCGTGTGTGGCCGCGCAGGAGCCTGCAGGGGAACACTGAAGTTGGCAGGCGGGCTCCTCATCACGGGCGAGCGAGGTGACATGGCTTCCTCTTGGCGACTGGCGAGATATTCGAGGGCGCGTTGGGCATTGGGCGCGATCAAGGTTTGGCGATTGCCACTGGCATCCGCCTCGTGTGCATATTCGTCATGCTCGTCGTCGTCTTCATCTTCCTCGTCGTCATCAGCCTCCTCTTCGGATGAGTCCTCATCGACATCGAATGCGCTGAGCATCGCAATCTTCTCGGCATGTGCTTCTTTCACCTGTTGGCGCATTTTCTCGTCGGCCTCCCGCATCAATGCATCGAATCGAGCCAGCGATGTGAGCTTCTCTTCACCCGGAGTCTCGAGTTCGGAGCCAGGGATGCAGCGCAATTGGAAAGCACGGTCGAGGATCGTCTCTCGCTGGTTCGGTGGTGAACTAGAATCGGCACCGGGAAAAGGTTGGGCACCTCCTGAGCTGACGCTGCCTCGACCGCGGATTGGTGAGCTGATGGTAGATGAACGTCCTTGTGCCGCTGTCCATCCCTCAATCAATTCGCTCCGTTGATAGTCGCTCATAGACATCGTTGTGACAGGCGAGGGGATGTCGCTGGGGAGAACAGTAGTGTATTTGTTGGGGTCTGGGATGGTGAAGCCCATATGAGCAGGATGGGTAGTACTTGTCGGTGACGAGACATCACTGCGCTTAGAACGCAGACTCGGAGAATCGGAGCTGAATTTGATGGGTCGGTCTCGGCTTGAGTATGTCTGCGTCGAGTTCTTGTGTTGCAGGGTGCCACGGGGATTCGGGTTCCCACTCGGAGGGCGAGGGAAGTAATCAACATCTCGAGAACGCTGCTGGGCGAAGGGGTTGGTGAAACAGGGAGAAGCCGGGCTTTCTGGGCTCATGGGAAGTTTTCTCGAAATAATAAACCGGGCCCATTCGTGTAGACTAATATGATGGTCGTCCGGGGGCGTTCGAAACCAGAGCGTAGTCGCAGTGGACTCTTTGCTCGAGATGAGGCCAGCAGCCCTACTGGAACGGCGTTTCTTCTCCTTGTCGTTGATGGTGATAACGAGAGTGGGCAGAACGGGGCCCTGCTTGCGATGGGCAAGCATCTGCACCTGACAGTCTATGACAGAGCTGACGGGGTATTGGTAGGAGGGCTCCCAGTCGTCCTGCAAGTTCAGGTGGCTTAGGTTTGGGCCAGAGAACTCCGTCATGTTGAGCCTTACCTTTGACTTGAAGATGGAGATGTAGTAGTCGTCGTTGCCAGGGGTCCGCGGCTGGGATCTGGTGCCGGTCCCGTTGGAGCGGGTTGAAGCGGCATTTTGAGGGAAAGTCGGACTGGTGACGGCTTCTCTGTAGACACTACGGCCTCCCACAACAACATATCGTGGCTAGAAAGAAGAAGTAAAATGTCAGAGACAAAGTTCTTGGACGGCAATATTGCAGAGAGTTCGAACGCAATTCCATACCTTCCAGATGGCGCGCCCCAAGATCTGGCCCCGATCAGGGGGTATCAAGAGAACTCCCTCGCAAGTTTCCATGGCTGATGGAAGAGGTTAAGACAAGGGTTGTGACTAGTAAGGCGTATCCAGGCACCGTCGTTGCTCCAAAGAGGAACTCGAAAGGTCTCCAAGGTATCAGGTTGAGGATTAAAAAAGCATGCTTAATGTTGAAAGCAGGCGTCGGCGGTGGAGGACTGGATGCAGTCTAAACGAGGGTTGACGACGGTTGCGCTGTGCATGCAGCAGAAGAAAAGGTCGGATCGAGGACGGACAGGTTTACAGGGTCGAGATGGGGATTCGGTATCTCGGGTCTGCACAAAGGGACCAGTGAGTTGTTCCCATGGATGTCTCTGGATCCAGCGCCCCTGACCTGCGCGAAGAATAAACAACGGTTTGTGTTGAAGCAGAGGTTGGGCCGGCTTGGGAGAGGAAGAAGAAGAAATGAGGCGCGATGGCGGAGGAAGGTAGAGAAAGAGGTGTAAGGTGTGTGTGTATGTGTGTGTGAAGTAGGTAAGCGGTGGTGGTAAACTGGTAGTAGTGTGGTCGTGGTGGATGGGGGCCGCCAATAATGGAGGAGGGGAGGGGGGTGAGGTGGTGAAGGGGACGGGAATCCGTTACTAAGGTAAGTGCAAGGCCAAGGCGAGCCGCGAAGGCGGTCTGCAGGAGATTGAGGGAGGGGGTTCAAGCTCCAGGGACGGAGCCAGCGAACAATGGCATGAAGAGAGGCAGACTGGATTGCTGGTGCGGAGGGTAGCACTTCTCTTGGTTTAAAATTGTAGTCATTAACGGCGAATGAAGCGGATGAGATGTTGGGGGTGTGGGTAAGGACGAGCTGGGAATGATTACGATTCCACGCTGAAGACGGGAGATACTGCGAGGGCCAGTCCACAACCCGCAGTGACATGGAGCCAGAGAGGAGACAAATGATGGGGACTGACTGAAGGAAGGGAGGCAGGACGGACGACAAGGTACCAGGAGTCTAGGAGAATAACCTACGGAGTACATACGCAGTGCGCAGTATGAGAATGGAGCAAAAGAAGCAGAAGCAGAAGCAGAAGTAGAAGCAGAAGAGTACCTTACTACGTAGAAGTAAGTGGAGGCTATACGGAGACCATGCCTTACCGCACCGTCCTGGAGCGGTCCGTACTATGCGGTAGGCGAAATTAAGCAAGACCAAGCAAGGCCCAAGACCCAAGGCGCGAAGACTTGACGGGAAGGACTGGACTGGAATCACTGGGACTGGATCGGGGGTGAAATGTTGGAATGGTGGATATGCGCATCTGCCTCGCACGTGTATCTCAAATGTAGCGTAGCAAACACTTTTTTACTTCCATGCCACTACCTCCTTCCCTACGCAGTAGTGACATAGATATCTCTCGCTCTCTTTTGTCACATTTCCACGTCTTCTTTGTTGGCTCTGACTGCAGAACCCCCTTCCAACGCAGAGGTACGGACGTAGATAGACGCATTCATAGTTACGTACATATGTCATATTTGTAGGCAAAGGTACGGAGTGGAATAGGAGAAAATACACTACCGAACCAGGTACTTTTATTGCGTGGAACGACACAAGGTCAAGGGATGGATACCTTGAGAAATACTCGCTGCTTGTCACTGCCCGCTCTTGAGGTACATTCGATACGTACCGGCGCTGGTCGCGGTTGGGATGTCAAGGACAGGGTGCTCTCCGCCGGGGGGGGGGGGGCCAAGGAGGAAGGCAAGGAAGAAGAAAAAATGAAAATTAAATCGGGTCCCTGCCGTGCCTGCCCTGTGTGCCTGTGCCTGTGTCGACTGTTCAGTGCCCTGTGGTCTTGCCGTCCAGTCTTGGAAGGGGAAAAGAATGGAAGGAACGAACGGTACCTGCGCAAAGCAACGACGGCAAGTGCAACCCGCAAGTACCGGGTTCAGGGCAGGACCATTGGAGCAGGGACGGGGATGTCCCTGACCCGTCCTTCTTCGAGACCGCTTTGCATCTTGGGGGCACTTCCACTGGCATCTCATCTCATCCAATGACACGCTGCTATCGGAACCAGATGGGTTCGAGAGTGGATACCACCTTACCACGGTACGTATCGCTGTCATTGACTCTACTGCGCAGGTACTCCGTATGGAATCTTTTCTCTCTCCAGACAGACCTCACCTTATTCTGAGACCATCTTGGGACGCATCCTCTTCCAACTGACTTGCATCACAGTACGTATACAGTCACTGTGCATCATGCTCATGGCAGCACACACATGGAGAGACTCGGTCTTGGAGCCAGCGGCGTAGACGACTGCGTCTCTCTCTCCCTCTCCCAAAACCATGCCATGCATTCAAGTCTCTAGGCGCACCATCTACATGAGATACCTCCCTACCTCTCCTCGGAAGCCCCTGGACCAAAAGAGAAAGAGTCCGGAGTGGATGCAATTCGAAGAAGCGGAATCGCGGAAACATGGAGATAAGGCAATAGGAGAAGAAGAACAAGAACGAGAAGAACGAGAAGAAGAGAGCCACGCCACACACGGCAGAAGCGCTGTCAGATGGATGAGCCCTGGCTACCTCGACGGTCATGTTCCATCGCCACGGAGACTATTCGTACGCATACAGGGCATCAGCAGACTACTGGCTACGAATGCAATTCTACAGCCAGAGTCGCTCCACCACGAGACTGCGTCGTCCACATCGTGACGCTTCCGCTGCCAGGAACCGAGGGGCGCCGAGACGCGAGAGGACCTCTTACTGCGCAGTAGAGGGGCAGAAACACTCGAAGACTTCTATCGCTAAAAGAGAAACACATTAGCCCTCTTCTAGCCATGCTGGCCCTGGCTCACCCTCTCTCATCCCTGCTATGCCCCTGCAGCGGCCCCGGTCCAGCTGCGAGCTCTGGTCTTTTCCTCCGTCCACTACCCACCTCTCCCCTGCCTGTCATTCCCGTCAAACCCTCTCGACTTCTACAGGACACACACACACACACACGCAACCAATGCCGCAATTCCAGGGAGAAACATTCCTGTGGCCTACGCAGTACTGACTACGAATACCTTACTCACATACTGTATGGGATATAGACACCAAGAGCTTGACTGCTTTCAGATGACGCTGGCGCCGTTTCGACTCCATCGCCGTTTGCAGACATCCTCACTGGCTTTTATTCCATCCGCCCGAAGCCGTGTCTCTGACTATCCTCTAGCGCCTCTTCTACCGTCCGCTTCTTTGATGTCCTCGTCGGCTTTCGTTGTCAACTCATACGCCATCCGCACTTTCCCATCAGATTGAATCGACTTGAGACGGCATCGCATTTCATCCTATCAGCCACCGCTTCTCCACCTCAACTGCCTAGCTGACTTTGCGGCGTCATCGGTCGAGCCGTTTGTTTCCCCAAAAACTCCAACACCAAGACCAGTAGGAACCGGCTATCGTCCCGGCTCCGGTTGTTGGCGGCAGTCAGCGTTGTACAGTTTCAGGCCGTCTCCCCAAAGAGTCAGAACATGGTGAGCAAGACAACAATGGAGGACGCCATCTCGGGAGCCGGATCGTAGCCTGTGTCATACATGGCTGTGTGTGGCATGTCATTGCAACTTCACATTACCCACCTCCATCTTGGACGCCTAACCCGGAGGGAGCTCATCAATCACCGCTGCTCTGGTACCGAGCGCATTCCTGCACCACTTCGGAAACACTTCGTACTCCATACACGGTGCCACGGGCTGGTTTTCTTCTCAACGACACGCCAGCCACTATTATACCCTTCACATGCGTCATGCGTGCCATTTCCACACAACGTCCTATGTTGGTTCGCAAATCGCATCACATCAGCTAGAAAACAGCCACCGTCGTTCCTGACTCTTGCGACTCTGTACTAGTCCTGCTCATGTGCCGTTCCGAGCCTTTAATGCGACACAACACCGCTTGCTGGCCTTGCTCTGCGGCTGCTCCTGCCGACAACGACAGGGGAGACAAGAGAGGCGAACAAAAATGGCCGCCGGAGACTTTTCGTCACTTGACGCAGACGTACGGATACGGATACCTGTAATTCCAGTCTCCAGCTTGAAGTCGTTGTCAGAGAGACGGATCTCGAACGCGTCGGTCGACGAGAATCTCCATACCTCTTCCCCCACCGCTACTTTAAGAGACATCAGCATCAGACCATATCTTGTAAACCAAGAACTGTCCCCTCTCTCGTCACTTTTTTGACCGCCGCAGCATCCGTGGAGCATACTGGTACGCCGCGCACTTTGTCTCCTACGACGCCGCGGAGCGGATCTCAGGGACCGAACCTTCCACCTTGCTCCCCACTCGTTCTCATCCGCACAGGTATCCAAGCTTTTTTATCGCCGCCTCAGTGTACGCAGTATGCAGCATCCAAGTCTGGTCTGGTCTAATTAGTCCAGCGACATTTCAGATCTAATTGTCTTGAACCTGCAGTTGGGCGGGCTGGCGGGCGCACTCAAATATGCAGCACATGCAGGCCTCGCATGGCATGGCATCGCGTTGCATCGCATCAACCATCAACGCTAATAAAGGGACCCAAGCCAATGCCCATGTGGCCTCTGCAACATGAAGACAGTGAGGCCGCACTCATCTCGCATCGCACGCCCGACTGGCTAGTCGCCGTCATAGATTAGTCCGCATTACAGGCTCCCACAGGTACCTAGACAGCTCTAGTTGTAATTCCATCATGGCCACTCGAAGCCCTCCAAGCCCTCCAAGCCCTCCAAGCCCTCCAAGCCCTCCAAGCCCTCCTGTCTCCGCCACCTCGCCAACCTCTCCGCCATGATGCTGCACCGTTGCGGAGATCTCAATGCATGCAGCACACCATGGCCTCCGAGGGATCCATCAACCTGTCTACTGTGCCTTGCCTTTCCATGCGCGCCTCCTGGACTAGACGGTCTAGTCTACACAGTAGACCGGCCTGCGCCGCTCGTCCCTAGTAAAAACTGGCCTGTCGGGCAAATACTAGCTGGTCATGTGCGGGAATTGGGCCAGGGCTCTTGACACTCAGCCGTCCAAGATGGTGTCGACTTGCTTGCTTTGCTGCAGAAGTTCCGGCAATCAGCTACGGGCGATGTCCTACTTTGGACAGGCCAGTGCAGCCGACATCCCGCTTCAGCTCGTTGCTCCCGAATAACGCAGTCCTATCTACCATTTTGAGCATCAGCGCGCCGCTGCCCTCTCCCACTTTTACAATGCCCCTGGCCGTCGGCAGTCGAACCTTTCGATTAAGGTGTCTCCGTGCAAGCCCGGCACCTTGGACGTATGGATTGCACCGACCATCTGGTCAGTGTCCTGTTTGGGTTTCTCGGCTTACATCTGTGCTAGAGAAGATTTTGCCTGCCGCCGCACCCAACGACATCCAAGTTTGTACCGACACGTCTCGTTCCCTACGGATATGCATCCCCCGCGTTCAAAAAGAAAACGAAGGCAGTGCCAGCGTGCCGCTTGAAGACGTAACGCTTATGACAGATCAAACGCACGCAATATCTCTGAACCACCTAACGTATGCGCCCCTGGCTCAACGTCGCCAATCTTGCAGGGCACTCAGGAGCGGAAGCGGCCAGGATCAGGGTTGACCACACAGAAGACGGATTCAAGGAGCGGACAAAGCACCCCAATCCGGGGCCGAACAATGGGTCTGTTATCGACGGCCTCTCATCTCTCATCTCGCTGACGCTGGAGCATTAGAGCATTCAGTTCAGCCCCCATCAGAGACTGCATCGTCATCAGCCATCGTCCCCTTACGCCGCAAGCGCTGCTATCAGCTCCTAAACCCAGATTGAACTAATCGCCCGAGCTCTGCGCTCGCCACTGTGTTTTCGTCCGGCCGATCAAGCCAACCGCTTTATGTCTCGGGTGGGGTCTTTGCACAGCTTGTTCAGCTTACCAAGTACGGCCGGCCCGGGATAACGTCCGCCGCCGAACCCCGGCGATATCGCCGTAGTCCTTAGTCCGCTCCGAGTGGTACAAAATCATCATTTCTCACACTCTGCACGGATACTCCGTGGGGATACAGACATCCGTACGGACTCAGCACTCATACCTTGTTTTGCCAGGCTGTCAGACCATCCGTCGACCGACTTGACCTGGACCTCATGCGAGTACCGAGGCTCTAGCTTGATGGGCGCCCCGAAACAGCCTAGTTGGTTGGCAGCACGCAGGTGGCTTGCGTTTGAAAGGCGGTTGGTGCAGTGCAAAGACGATGCCCCTGATCCACCTCTGAGGAGCCTCTCCACATACTTTAACCCTCTTCGCTTGCTTTTTCCTCTTAGACCTAAGCAAGACTCGATCATCTTGGCCAGTTGTCAATCGCGTGGCACTGATGCGGGTTTAACGCCAGAAATGCCATCTTGGACATGACAGTCAGTCTTACCGTCTAACAGAAGGTCCCCGACATATCCACCCATACCCCGCCAAGGTCCAGATCAACATTGAGATTCTCGTGTGGCTTGCGATATGCGCCAATAGCTTCGGTCAGTCAGGGACTTGAGTGCCTCGGACTCCCAGTTCAGCAGGCATATTTTACAGTTGCCTTCATAGCATAGGTGCGCAGTGAGATGTGCCAATAACGAGCCAGTGCTGGCACACTTTTACTCTCTCTCTCTCTCTCTCTCTCTCTCTCTCTTCTCGGCGGCAGATACAAACAGTGTCTTGCATCAGAGAGATGAATTCGTCTTCATATTCCGGATACAGCACCCGTCAGACCGTAGACGGGTTCGCTGAGTATTGCCTTACGTCCGCAGTGTCTCACAAACCCTACGAAAGCGATCTGTAATACATTCTGACACTGCGGACCGCACCCTTGCCAATGAGCACAAGCCGCCTCAGCACTAGCCACTTTGAAGTAGTATTGGGGGCATCGTATTCTTTCGAATCGTGGAGAGACGGGGATATTGACTCGTACCTTGCGCTGAGGATCATGAAGAACTGGGGGTGACTTTCGCCTTTTGCTCATTATTTGAGCGGTCCGTTCCTGTGTGCACGCCCACGACGCCCTCCGAAGCAGGTCGACTGGCTTCCAGATCACGGAAACCCCCATCATGGGATTCTCGCCCTGGGTGATCCCACAGCAGCTGGTCGCACTAGATGACATGTCTGAGACATGAGCTAGGGTCGTTACACCTCATCAAGCGGTGATGAGAAGCTATCCCAGCCATTTGGTTTGTATCCCTCCAAGGAAACAGGAAACGAGTCGTTGACCAAAGTTCTGTCTGTAGAGTGCATCAGTCCGTAGGCCACGGCGAGAACTGGGATCGACAGGGTAGCGTCTCGAAAAAGCCCGTCCCTCGTTCCGACGTGCTAATTGATGATCCTCGTGCGGAGGGGCAACGTGGTGTAGCGGGTCAACAAGCTATATCCACCTCGAAGCGAGGATGATCGCGAGGTCTCGAGGTTGCAGTCTCCTCCGACAAGTTAATTACGCACCCTCTCCACAGACCACGGCGACCACTGAGCTTCAGGCGCACCCTGCACGTAAGCTTACTCTCGTCACTACTCAGAACCCAGAAACCCGGAGTTGGCACTCTGTTGGGGGGGTTGGCAAAAACCTGCTGCCTAAGTCGCAGTGTAAATGAGCGCCATGCAACACCGGCCCGATGGCGAGTCAGGATGGAGTGCGATTTCGGGAAACGTTGCACGCGGAATGTCTCGCTCAAGTGCTGGCGCTGGGAGTCGGCCGACCCGTACCAAGATCGAGAAAAAAGGCTTTACGGTTACGGAGCATGAGGTGACGCCCTTTTGAAATTTGGAGGATTCGACGTTGCACGAGGCTTGGCCCGACCGATAGCATCTTTGCGAGGCGGCGGCTCCCAGAGTGCCGGATGCCAACAACGACAAGATGGGCTGGGTTCGGACATTGCTCCTTTGTTCGCGTGGTGGCTGACAGCCCACGTCAACGTTTTCGAGGAGTTGATCAGGAGAACGAAGGCTTCCAGAAACATGTGAAGCCTTTCGGTGCCAATGGCTGAAAGGGAGCAACAGGTAAGAAGACGCGCAAGCGTGCTGCAGAACGGCCAGTGACATTCGTCTCATGTAAGTGGTTCTCGATCCGGCGCATATGGCTGCCTTCATCCACGACGGTGCCTGAGCTCTATCCTGGTACCAGTCTCGCTATGAGGACGGGCACATTGATTGCCAGGCGCGAGGATACAGAGCTGATACTAGCGCCCTTTGTACGCAAAGGAGCCGACGCTTTCAAATCGGTCTTTCGGGGCCAAGGCAAGGCTTCCTGTTTGCAGTCCAACGGTTCTGGCAACGTGCTCACGAAGATGGCCCATTTCCTTCGATTCTGGTGCTACCATCCGATGGAGCCTTTGCAGTTGTGGAAAGGACTGGACGTACTCAAGGTGAAGACTATCCTCTCAGAGACTGCGCTCGCCCAGAAGCCGTCCGTGAATTCATATACGTGATTTAGGGAGAAGGCAAACCGTAGGCGATCATGATTGTCATATGATATGCGTCGCTTTTGATGTCCTGGTGACGTAGCAGAGGGAACAGACGACATTTCTGTCTTACACCGATATGGACTATTCATCAGAGGCAGGCATACGGTCCTGTCGTTGAGAAGTCTCTAGCAATGTGAACTAGTGCTCAGCGAAAGATTACATGCTCCTGGTCTGCCATATAAATAGATCCCTATTAAAGGCGGTTTACAGCTTCGGTAAGAGACCGCAGGATTGAACGTGTACGCTCTCTCGGGCCTTATGCACCGCTGTTGTAGTTGCAGTCTTAGTCCAGCGCCAGGCATTTCTCTTTGGTGGGTGTGGCTTATATCGGGCTAAGTGACTTCTTCTCAGTATTCCGTCCTGTCCAGGTGATCATACTTGATGGAACACTTGGATGTTGGAAGTGGCGGGCAAACACGAGAGGCGGCTGAGAGAGTTTCGCTTTAGGATGAAGCCTGCGAAGTTCCTCTTGGGTCTTGCGACTTTGGTAGCTCGAACAGTTGACACTTGATGCGTCACCTCTATGAAAAAGACAATAGCGAAAGGAATGGTCCAGGCTCAAAATCCCTCCTAAGTTGAAGGCGGGACATACTGAGGACTACTTTGCCCTTTTATCCCAACTCTCATATTGATACCAGTGGGCAGAGGCAGCCAGCTCCTGTGTTACTATGATGATGGAGAGCGGAGTAGAATCCGAAGGGATCACGAGCTTTGTCGTGGGCGTCATTTAGATCTCATGGGGTTCAGGTAGGGCTTCTGCCATTTGGTTTTGTATCTGGATAGTTTGCTTCGAACATGACGTGTTGATTCTGCAGAAAGTGCAGGACTATGATGAGAAAGTGATATGATGTTGGCTTTACGATCCCGAACGGCTGTTCTGCCGACGAGGCGGATAGAGGGGATGTTAATCAATTAGCCCCTGCGTCTTCTGGTTTAGTAATTGACTTTTCGAAATATGAGTTCATGTTTGACATTTCTGGCCAGAGAGATATACTTTGCCCAGTCGTGTCCAGGAACTGTGAAGACAAAATCGACGACTCAAAGTCACTGCCAACGCCACCATCGACTCGTTCCACTTGTAAGAGAGCACGACCGACTCGAATCAATCTGATCGACCTGGATCGGGCCGCCGTTTCTGTTCCTATGGTGTATTATAGGTTGAGATGCCATCATTCGGATATAAAGGA